ATGTGTCCTGTCTCCATCCCTTTTCAACCTGTATGCAGAGCAGATTATCCGAGAGGCTGGGCTCTATGAGGAGAAGCGTGGCATCAGGATTGGTGGACGATCTATCAACAATCTGCGTTATGTAACTCTGAAATCACAGAGATTTCTAATTGACACACACAGCTACATAGAGACCCACAGCAGCCTGGTAGCCGACGCCAACTTCATCTGTCAGGTAATGAGGGAGAGGTAACGATGAGAAGACAGCCTGCTAAAGGGCTGACTCAGCGACCCACAGCTGCTGCTCTTCAAGCTCCAATGTTCCCAGTGCTTCTCACCCAACCCAAGCTTCTCACTCCATGGGGCAAGCTTAAGCACTGAGATAAAAACAACAAAAACCCAATTTGGAAATAAAAGAAATAGTTTTGCCCTGGTCAGCTTTCCTTGATTTCTTAAAAGCCGCAATCTCGTCTTGTTCCAGCACTGGTTTTCAGTGTTCTAAATTCTTGATTGAAGAGTGACAAATGGTTCCACCCCTGAATGAACTGTGGCAATATGTGCCAAATTCACTATAAACATGGCTTCAGCTCCTCAAAAAAACATTGGTGGTTGTTGTTATGTGCCAGAGTCAACTGTAACTCAGCAACCGAATGAACTCTAGGCCTGAGCCCTCCGGCACCATCCTCACATCCTCTGACATGCTCAAGCCCCCTATCCCAGTCATTGTGCCCGTCCATCTTGTTGAGAGTCTTCCTATCTTTCTCTGACCCTCCACCTTTCCCAGTAAGAGGTCTTTTTACCAAGAACTGCCCCCCCTTTTTTTTGTTTCAGACGGTCTAAAACTGCCCCCTTTTGACAACATGCCCATAGCAGGTGAGATGAAGTTTCACTGTCTTTACCTTTAAGGAGCACTCTGATTACACTTCCTCCAAGACAGATTTATTAGTTCTCCCTGCAGGCCTTGGGATATTCAGTACTCTTCTCCAACACCACAACTCCAAGGCTTCCATTACTCTTCATCAATGAGGACTCAGATGGTCTTATGTTAAGCATCTATCATGATGCATTCTTTATTTTAAGCATCCGCAACACAGGCAAAAATAAGAGAAATGAGGATACTGTACTAAGGGAGCTTTCCGTAACCATATGGACAAATAGTGACCAATGTGGGTAAAAGATTGGAGAGCTCTCCCAGAATGTCCGAGACTCTGTGAGATGGTCACCCAGGGTGCTGCGCTGGGGTGGGGAGAGGCTTGCCAGGAAGACCTAATGTTTAGAGTTATTCTTCAGCTCCCTGAGATGAGGAGTTTGGAGTACATTAAATATGATTTAGAGAAAATAAATGTGACTTTCCCTACACTCTGTTAGGGAGTAAAATTGATACTACATATTCTTTTTATGATATAATTAAGTTGGGGTTTTTATTTTTTCTGAGTAACTAGCCATAATGTGTTGCAGAGTGGTGTCAAGTCAGAATCAACTCATAGCTGACCAATCAGTGGGTTTTCAAAGGCTTTCAGACCTCACAGGAGATTGCCCATCTTTCTCTCATAGAGCCGCTGGGGGGTTCAAACCATGTGTCTTAGGGTAACAGCACAACTCCTAACCAGTAGGGCACCAGAGCTTTCTAGTCATCGTGTAGTTTTGGTGGTGACATTCAGAGCTCTTCTCCAACACCACAATTCAAAGACATTGATCCTTCTTCCAGGAGACATAAACCAAAACCATAATGCAGGATTTGTTTTAGGACTCTTGAAAGAAGAATCGATGACTCTGAATGGTGTTGTTGGCGAAGAGTACTGAATACCCCACGGACTGGCAAAAGAACAAACTATTTGTCAAGGAGCAAGTAAAATCTGGGTACTCCTTAGAGGCAAGCATGGTGAAAGTTTGCTTCATGCCTTTAGCATGTTGTCAGAAGGCATAAGTCCTTGGAAAAAGACATTATGCTGAGGATGTTTGGCAAAAGAGAGGCAGACCCACAACAAGATGGACTGACAGAGCGGCTGCAACAACTGGCTTGAGCAAGGCAAAGAGTATGATGATGGCGAGGACAGTGCATGCTTGGATATGTTGCTCACCAATTCACTGTCAGGGGTTTATTTGACGGCACCTAATGAAGTGGCCTTGGAGGCAAAAATGACGGTTTCATCTTTCAAACTCTGAGCATGTAGCTAGATGAGGCTATTCCTTAGAAAGTGGAATCATACTTGGAAAGATGCAGGTTTAGTGAAGGAAAGGAAGACCCTCAATGAGAAGGAGTGACCTTGTGACTTCAGCAATGGGCACCAGTGTGTCTCAGAGATGATGAGGATGGCACAGGATAGGACAGGGTTCCTAATGACTGTTCACAGAGTCGCTATGAGTAGTACTCAACTTGATGGAACACAATAACAACAACACTGTATTTCATTGACATTAAAGTAATGTTATCCATGGCTAAGTAAATATAATGTCCTAGAGAAGACAGCTTTCCTGAATTATTAGGTTCCTGTATTAAAAGGTTCCTTTATCAACCTTTTGTAAATACAGTCATTCATTCCTCAATATCTGCAAGAGATTGGTTCCAAGATTCCTGCAAAGGTCAAAATCCATCAGCTTCTCCATAAGACAAAGATGGGCAATCACCTTCCATGAGATTTTAAAGCCCCTGAAAACCCACTGGAGGGTCAGCTGTAAGTTGGTTCTGGTTTGACGGCACATGATCAAGGTCCTTGAATAGAAAGAAAAACTATTTGTCTATGAATTCTACAAATCCTTCCACATACTTTAAGTAATTTCTAGATAGTTTATAATACCTAAACTGCACTAGTGGTTTGGGTTAAGAAATTGCTACCAACTCAGAGGTATGCGGTTTGACTCCACCGGCTGCTCCTCAGGAGAAGGATAGGCGATCTCCTCCTGTGCAATTTACTGCCTCTGAGAACTCACTGGAGGGCCAGCTATGGGTCAGCTCTGACTTGGTGGCACAAAACAACACATAATACAACGTAAACACTATATACATAGCACTTCATATTCCTTCTTAGTTTTTGAGGAATTGCTTTGATTACTTAATTGCTTTTCCTACTAAACCAGAATATTTTTAATCCAAGGCTGGCTAGATCCACGGAGTCAGAATCTATGGATATGGAAGAGCTTTCTTCATTCCCAGTCATGAAAGTTAATGGATTAAATCTTACCTGGAATTGACTACTACTCATGCGGTCCTTAGGAGAGAAGATGAAAACAAGCCTCTCAGAGAATAAATAACATTAGCACTGCTCATGAATCCTGAAAACGAAGACTCTTTGCAGGTTTAATACTAAAAATATTGTGAACATGGAGACATCTACGGTTGTTTCTTTTTCTTTCCTCAAAATCTTTTTTAGCTCTGTTCTTTATAACTTCAAAGAACTGCACTACCTTTTAAAGGTCAAATTGCACCAAACAGCAAAAGGAATGGCATCTGTGAGCTCCCACCTGCCTCCCACTAGGCCGTCCTCCGTCCCCTCTGGGTCTGGGTGAGACTTAAGGGAGTGAGGTATCAGGATTTTTAAGAATGACTTTTCTATCCACTGCTTAGATTTGACAACACAGCCAGGTGAGAATGTGTAAGTAAATAAATCTTTGAGGCTCCACCCACCACCCTTAGCTCCCCTCGGGACACGGTCTCCAGCTGCCTCAACATGCAGACATGAGGCTTCATGTTGATCAGCGTCTTCAACATCAGTGAGACCAACCTAGGAAAGAGAGCTAACCAGACTGTAAGAGAGCCTGTGTGAAAGCATAGCCTTCAAGGAGCCAGAATGACCCAAGGCCAGAGCTCTTTACAGAGTACCCTTAATACCAGTAAAGTAGCAGCAGAGAAAGCAGTGCATGTCCTTGGGGCCAGAGGTTTCTGTCCAGAGGTGTCTTGCTGTTGTCTGAGAAGCTGTCTGAACAAATTGAGGGATTATGCCTTCTTGTTAACTTTGCTTGGAACTGCTATGTACTAAGTCTAACCAGGTAATATCCTTTGCCTTCCCCACCCCTAGCCTGTTTCCCTAATAAGCCTCACAACTGTGAATAATAAGAGCTTCTGTAAAGTTTATATGATCACTGACATTGAAATTCAGACCCATTAATTAGTAGAAGTATATGCAGCAGACTGGGGATGAGGGATATGTCTGATCATAGAGGGATCTGTTTTCTCCTGTGCATGTTGTTGATGGGGACAGTTCCCCTTTGAAGCATTAGTAGGAGTAAGACTCAGTGGTCTCAACACTGTCCTTGCTCCTTTTACAGGAAGACAGAGACTGAGTTTAATGTTCATCAAGGTTAACTAGGTGCCCCTTGCCCCCCACCTATAGAAAGACACCAACAAATTCTGCAAATACAAATAAACTTGTTCCTTACCTGAAAGAATGGCAAATTGTCTGTGGAGCTGTTCTATTATATCCACTGCCACCAAGGGCCTGATTTCCTGCTGCATAATTTCATCTGCACAAATGAGATACAAATTGGGTTAAATCCTGGCAGACCACACAACAAAATGAAAAAGAAATTTCCACTACTGGAGAAATCTGAGACTTGTTACATATGGTTATAAGCACATTATTCTCTTGAGAAGTTGATGCCAGGGCAGATCTGGGATTTATGAAGTTTGGAGCTGGTACATCTGAGCGTGGGAACACAATTCTAGAGCCACCCTCTGGGGTGGGGAAGGGCCAGTGAAGGAAGGGGTCTGAAGTTTAAGTTTCATTGGCTCCCAAGTAAACCCCCTCTTCTGGGATGGTTTCCTTTACAGGGGAGGTAAAACATGCCACAGACACTGCAGTTTTAACTCTAGACCACCACAATGAAACAAGTATCATAATAAAACAAGTCACACAATGTTTTTGGCTTCTCAATCCACCAGCTGTTCTGCAGAAGAAAGATGGGCAATCTCCTCCCATGTGATTTACAACCTCTGAAAACCCACTGGAGGGTCAGTGATGAGTCGGGTGTGATGTGATGCCACCCAACGGCAATGTATAGTAAGTTATGTTTACACTATACCAGTAGTGTGTTACGTGTGCAAAAGTATTATGGGAAAAGCTCAAAATACCGTGAGACTTACCAAAACATGACACAGGGACACAACCACACATGCTGCTGGGAAAATGGTTCTGATAGACTTGTTTACGACAGGGATGCCTCAGTCCTTCAACATATTTTTTTTGAAAGAGGGGTAGCAAAATCCTTTTTAACTGCAGTAGAAAACCACAAGCATGTCTGTATTTGTCTACGCCATTGAGTCTGTAGAAAGACATTTTTTTTTATCGTCCTAAATGACCAGAGCTTGCCTAAGCTGAATCGTAAAATGAGCCCCTAGGTCTATAAGTGTTCTGTGATTCTCTCTTTCAACCTATACCTCTCAATTCCTTATTAAAATCTCTGCCAGAATATTTCAAGGGGATTTTTTTTTCACTGCTAAGCATGTTTAAGGAGGCATGTCTCCATTTTTCTCCTTAAAGATTTTTTTAAAAAAAGAAAAGATGACCAAAACATCTATGAAATACCACCTCACCCCAGCAACAACAGCAAAGTTCAACAGGGAAGCAAACAACAAATGCTGGCGAGGTTGTGGAGAGATTGGAACTCTTACTCACTGCTGGTGGGAATGTAAAATAGTACAACCACTATAGAAGGTGGTCGGAAATAGAAATACTATTTGATTTAGCAATTGTACTACTAGAAATATACCCTAAAGACCAAAGCTGTGATTCACGTACACAATGGAATATTAGGCAGCATTTAAAAACAATGAACTTGTAAAACTTTACACAACATGCAGGAGCCTAGAGGACTTTATGTTAAGTGAAATATCTCAGTCACAAAAGGACAAATAGTGCATAACACCACGATTATAAAATAGGATAGACATGAGAGGACTTGGAGAGGGAATGGGGAAAGAATGGATCTGTAATGAACACTAAGTTAAATCAGATGAGGGGAAGAACTGTCCAATATATGATTATGCATTATATGTATGACAACAATCGGTAACAAGGGGTACATTACAGGATCGGCTGGGTAACAGACAGGGGGAAGAAAATGTGCAATAATGAATAAAAAAGTAAATAACTTAAAACATATAAAAAGGAAATATGATTAATTTCCAAGACAAATATCTAATCTTTCAATCACTAACCTGCCCCTGTCATATCCTCTAATCCTACAAGTGGCTGTAACTTTGCATTTCTACCACTTGAGGAAAGGGGCTAAGAGTGGGTGAGAGAGACTAGTGGAGTCCCTTAGTGTGGACGCCTTCACCATCTTTTCATAAAATATTACCATCTTCATTTAACTCTCTCCCAAGGGACTCTCAAAGAATGGCCTACGTATTGATTCTGCAGCACTTAAACATCTGCTTAGATTAAGCCACAAACCAAACAGCTTTGTGTGCCAACTCTAAATGAGAATTCCCTGTTGATTCAGTGGGTTATGGTAACAGTACCACATTCCAGTGTTGACTCAGAGTCTCTAGATACAGACACTGCTGGTGTGGCCCACAGGGAGTTGTACTGCTAATTTAAATACTGCCTCTCTCTCTAGGGATTCAAATCCACCAGAAAGTCCTGAGGAGAAACATGGGCAAGCTCCTCCCACACAATTTACAGCCTCAGAAACACAATAAAGGTTGCCTGGGAGTTGGTTCTGATTCAACAGCAGTGAACTGGTTGTTTTGTGGGATATTTTTTATGATGATTAATTGGAAGGTGTAGGAAGCTCCTAACAAGGCTGTGAAGATTAAAGACGATGGAAAGGCATAATAAGGTCCTGAGGAAACACTAATTGTGTTCATTGGGTTTTTCCCCCCAAAAGTAAGGGCATATTTGCTTTCTGGAAGTCTTGAGAAGAGTATAGCACATGCCTATTAAACCTCAGAAGTCTTCTCAATGGATTCTATGGTTCTTTTCTGGAAGAAGGGGAGTTACCCTAGGCCAGAACTCGTTCTTTTCTTTCAATACTCAATAGTCCTTTCACTCTCAATTGACTAAAAATTCAAAGGACTCTTGGATTACCATGAAAATTAGAGGATTAAACAACAGAATTATGATTCTATTTTAGGGAACATTGGTGGTCTAGTGGGTAGAGAGTTGTGATGCCACCTCAAAGGTAGGCAGTTCAAATCTACCAGTTGCTCCACGGAAGAAAGATGGGTAATCTCCTCCTGTGCAAGTTACAGCCTCTAAAAACTCACTATGCATCTGAAACCTGGACAATGAATAAGGATGACAGAAAAAGAATTGATGCCTTTGAGCTGCAGTGTTGGAGAAGAACATTGCACATACCATGGATGGCCAAGGAAATGAATAGATATGTCTTGAAGAGGATGCAGCCAGAGCGCTCTTTGGAGGAAAGGATGATAAGGCTTCATCTGATGTACTTTGGACATGTCGCCAGGAGATGCTATTCCTTGGAGAGGGACATGATGCTGGGAAGGGTGGAGGGTCAGTGAGGAAGACCCTAAACCAGGTGGCTTGACATGGTGTCTGCTGCAATGGGCTCTTGTGTGTCAGGAAGTGTGAGGATGGCACAGGACAGGTCTTTTGTTCATAGGGTCACTATGAGTCATGCTGGACTCAACGGCACCAAACAACAACAAAAACCTCACTAAAGTGTCCATTATGAGAAGGCTATAACTTAATGAGTTAGTTACATTTTGGAATCCCTGAGTGGTACAAACGGTGGATGTGCTCAGTTACAAACCAAAAGGTACAAGCACCTAGAGGTTCAAGTACCAGAGCCACCTCAGAAGGTGAATTACCTCTTTAAAATGTAAAAAAAAAAATTGTTTTAAAAACTACACTTGTTCCCACTGAGTGAATTCTGACTCATCATCAGTTCTAACCCATAGTGACCTTACAGGACAAAGTAAAACAACCGTGTGTATACAGCATTTCCAAAGCTGTTATCTTTCATGGAAACAACTGCCACATCTTTCTCCAGGGGAGTGACTGGTGGGTTCAAATGACCTACCTTTGGGTTAATCGTCTAACACTTAACCCACTGTGCCACCAGGGCTCTAATAAAACAAAATCAGCCATTGGAAACCTGACAAGACACTGTTCTACTCTGTCACACATGCCATCGCAAGTCAGAGGAGACTGGACAGTAGTACTAAGTGAGGGGTAATACTTTCAGTATCTACATCCTATATATGTCATTTTACTAGGGTTTTTTAAATTATTATATTGGTTTGCCTACAAAGTTCATATACATTGTACACTATCCTTCATTCATATTGTGTTTCATACAATCATTTCCATTTATTATGTTTTATAAAATTAATCACCATTGAATTATGCCCACCATTATCCTGTCTTTCCAGGTCTCTGCTGGATCTTTCCCACTTGCTCCTCTCTCCCTCCAACCATCAAATTGTGCAACCCTATGATTTTCCCTCCACCCCCAACCCCCCACCATTCCTCCCACCTTGGATCCTCATACACATTTTACAATTTATCTCTCTATTTCTACAATAATGATCTAATGCAGTGTTTGTCCTTATGAAACTGAGTTAGTTCATTCAGCAAAATGATCTCTAGTCTCTTTCAAGTTAATGTAACAATTTGTGAAATTGCTGCTCCTGGGTGCTGCACAGTATTTCATCATATGGATGTACCATATTCCTCAATCCATTCAACTGTGGCTGGACATCTAGGCTGTTTCCATGTTCTTGTGATGGTAAATAATGCTGCTATGAACACTGGGATACAAACTTCCATTTGTGTCTCAGTTCTTATTTTCTTGGGGTATATTCCAAACAGTGGAATAGCTGGGTCATATGGAATTTCTATGTTCAGCTTTCTGAGGAAAATTCAAACTGCCCTTCAATGTGGTTGTACCATTACCCCACAGTATATGAGAGTTCCTATCTTACCTCATCTTTTACATTTATTGCTGCCCTTTTGAACTTTGTCACTGCTACTGGGGTGAGATGGTATCTCATCGTAGTTTTGATATGCATCTCTCTGGCCATCCAAGTGTCTTCCTCTGTGAAGTCTTTCCATGTCTTTTGCCCGTGTTGTAATTTTATTATTATTCTTTTAGTTGTGAAGGCCCTGTAGAGTTCTGTTAATTTTTGTTATGAGACCCTTGTCTGAGATGGTATTGCCAGATGTTTTCTTTCAGTAAGTAGGTTTTGCTTTCACCCTGTTGGAAAAGTTTTTGATGTGCACAGAGATTAATCTTTAGAAGATCTCATTCATCAATTTTATCCTCTCCTGGTTGTGTATTTCTGGCTGTATTTGTCAGCCTCTTTATACCATGGGTTAAGACTTCTAACTTTGGTCCCACTCTGTCTCTTCTGATCTTTATGGTTTTGGGCTTCACTTCTAGGTCTCAACCCACCTTTAGTTGATTTTTGTGTTATGGTGAGAGGTGTGCATGCTGCTGTCAGTTTTGCCAACATTATTTTTGAAGAGGTTGCTTCCCCATTTGATAAGTTTTGT